AATAATAATTAAATAAGGTAATGGCAACTTTTTATCTCACAATTCAGACCTTTTTCTCACAAATCTGAGTTTATAGCTGACAATTAGACTTTTTCTTGCAATTGCGAGATGTTAAGTCAAAAATGTGTGAAGGTCTGAATTTATATATGTCGCAATTCATTTTTTTAAAAAAAAAATCTGAATCGTGAGATATAAACTCAGAATTGCAGGGGGGAATGTTTTCACAATTACCTTTTTATTCTGTCGCAGAAACAGGCTTCCATACATTACTGCTCAAAGTCAGAAAGATATTTATTAGTATAAATAATCAGTTTGCAATGCTGAAAAATACGGTTTTATTTCAGTCCAGTCTCTGTTTGTGTGCTTACACCAGAAAAAAATGTACACTTAAACATTTTTATAAAATACTTTAATACTTTTTTTTTTTTAATAGTTATGTACATAAAGGAATATCGAGGTGTTGTAACTCAGGTCAAAAAAATCATCTAAAATGCTTGGTGTAATACTATCTGGTATTATATTTTACATACAGTGCACCAAAATAACAATACATATAACAAAGTCAATAAATCAGGCAGTTATTTTTTTCTCGACAGCAGCATACATATTAAAATACAAATACTTAATCTCTGTTTGGGCTGTTCAAGGGTGACCAATGTGTATAAACACATATTACAAAACATTATGACTGATTATTGAGCACTGCCTGAGCCCTCAAGGCTGGTACTCAAACAGCACGGCCTATACTGTTCAATAAGAGGCAGAAGTTTCCCTTGCTGGTGGAGCTGTTTTGTATCTGTGCCTCCTCCAATGCACTGCCCATTAATAAAGACTCTTGGCACCTGAAAGAGTTGAAAGGATTAAGGTCAACTGCACTATCTTGACAAGAACGATATATCTAATTTCGTGCATAATTCTAATCAGCATCCAGGACTGGAACTGTTTATATATATATAAATAAACGACAAGACTTACTGTTCTGGCACCTGTCATTTGCGCTAAGGTCTCATGGAGACGTCTACTATCATCCAGTTCAACAACTTTATGTGCAGCTCCGATCTCATTAAAGACATTCTTCGCCATCTTACAGTATGGGCATGTGATTTTGGAGAATATCACAACACAGTTACTGGACA